TGTGGGATCTTCCCGGACCGGGGCACGAACCCGTGTCCCCCGCATCGGCAGGCGGACTCTCAACCACTGCACCACCAGGGAAGCCCAAGTTTACCTCTTTGTCCAGGAACGAAGCTCCATCTACATGCAAGAAGCCCAGGTCAGGCCAGGAAAGAAAAGCCACTGAGTTCCTCAGGCTCCTTTGTAGGAAACCGGTCACTGGAGAGGCCAGTGTTGAACACCGACCGCAGGAACAGAGGTCAGGTTTTGTCCCCTTCTGAGGTGAGGTTTCACAAGGGACCAGTTCAGGGTTGTTGTCCGTCTTCTCACTTGTCTTATGACGATCATTATGCATCTTTAATACACTCTGTCATTCACAGCAAATTTTTCTTTATTTTTATAGTACAGCTAAGACTGTCACTTCCGAAATGGAATTAAGATCCAGGATGGAGGAAAAAGCTGTTCCTGAAGAAGCTGGGCAAAATCCCTGTCGACAAGTGTCTAGATTTGAACAACTGTAGACTAACAACAGCGGATGTGAGGGAGCCAGGTCTGTATGGAGTTGACCTTGCGCAGAGGCACAGAGGGCCTTCGGGCTGGGATGAGCAGGATAAGTGCTCTGTCCTCACTTGGTAATGCGTGGTCTGCAGAGTGGCCCAGACAACTCAGGAAGCGCAGTTGCAACACTATTTTTTTTTTTTTAAACAAGTTGATTGATTCTTCCTCAAGCTTCAAAGATTTGAGCCCAGTTTAAGAGGGAGGTTTGTTTGTTTTTCCTGAGCAATTTTACTTCTCTACTGATTACCTCTAGCTCCCTGAAACATACCTGTTCCTGCATAGGATGTAAACTCATCCATAAAACTGAGCCCTGCTGGGAATTTAAAGGGGCATCTCGTTGTTATCTGTGGAATGAAAACTATCACTACCAGCAATTATTGCTCACACCATTTTACACAAAAGTGCAACTACTGTTTGTGACACTCTAGCAAGAGTTTGGTTGCGAAGAACCATCTTCCCAACACCACTGTCACCACCTTTTTAAAAAACTCTCTTTTTTCTAATACCTTAAATCAAGTCTTGAATCAAATTAGGTGTGTCTACCAACAGAGGTATCAAAAGAACTGCGTTTTGAGTGAGGGGTCCTTGAGTATTTTAATTAAAATCTATGCCATTAGGGCTTCCCTGGTGGCACAGTGGTTGAGAGTCGGCCTGCCGATGCAGGGGGCACGGGGTTTTGGCCCGGTCTGGGAAGATCCCACATGCTGTGGAGCAGCTGGGCCCGTGAGCCATGGCCACTGAGCCTGCACATCCGGAGCCTGTGCTCCGAAAAGGGAGAGGCCACAACAGTGAGAGGCCCGCGTACCGCCAAAAAAAAAAAAAATCTATGCCATTATATTTGAGACAGATCTCTTACGAGGGAGCTCTAACCATGCCTGTGATTCTCAAATGCCTATGTACATGTCAGAATCTCTTGCAGAACTTGTGGAAATGCAGGCACTTGAGTCCAACCCAAACCCACCGAATTGAAATCTTTGAGGGTGGGCCCCAGGAATCCTGTTTTTTTCCTTCTTAATGTGTTCAATAGGCTTTCATACTTTATAAAGTTAGGATCACGGTGAACAAGATGAAGTTGCTAAAGTGCTTTGAACGCTAGTAGAAAGAAAACATATTTTTTGCCCCCTAAGCATGTTTTGAGAATTTCTTCGGAACTGTGGAAGGTCAGGAATTGCTATGTCTGTAACTCTAGAAGCTCACCGTGCAGCGTCTGACTGCTGCCACTATTTTAACATTCAAGACAGATGTTTAAAAGCAAGCAAGCAAAGACGCTTTCTCCGCCTGACTCTGGCATTTCCACTCTTAAGTCTTGTTGCTGCGGGAGATAAAGATGACCTTTGAGAATCTTGTTCACAGAGAGTAGCTTCAATTGTCGTGAGCAGTGGAAGAGACTCAGAGAAGGTTCTGGTCAGGGTCTGTGCCAGTCTAAACCCGCACATGTTGGCCCATGCAGGTATAACAGGAACTTTATAAAGTGGTGACACCAAGGTGATCAAGATAAGAAAGAAAACGTAACGGGCACCCTCAGTCTCAGCGGTCCTGCCAACGGAGTATTCCCCAGACCTTCAGCCTGAGGGTCCAATAGGACGACAGGGTGACGGGAGTCAGGGGTTTTTGCGAAATAAAAGGACCCGTATACACATTACAGGGACAGTGGTAGTAACAGTCCTAGCAGTAGAATTACAATTTCCACTACAATAAAGGAGTTCTTATGAAATCTTATGGAAACACCACCGCATTTTCAGAGTGCAGTTGTTTGGCAGAAATAGAAAATGTCCCAAGAAATAGGTAAAGTGAATGTCACAATGTCTCCAGTTGTGCGGCTGAGAGATCCCTGCTTTGTGGAAAGTCAGCAAGTCCACCCTCCTTCCATCCGCTTACCAGAGCAACAGGCAGCGGATCCTATTTACTACAAATCACAAATCACACATGCAAATCTGTTTTTTCTTGTGTTCACTTCTACTTGCTTTGCTGCCTTCTCTCCCAGACTTGGAAAAACTGGATATTTCCTGGAATGATTTCATAGGCAGAACCCTCCATTTACTCATGCAGCAAATGCATCTTGTCAGCAAGTTAAAAATCCTGAGGCTGGGTAGATGCAGACTTACTGCTGATGATGTTCGAGCACTGGGTATGATGAATGCTTCCCTTAAGAGATGGCTCCCCTGGAAGGATCTTTGCAACCCAAACCCTCAGGGGCGAATTATCTGGGTCACCACCCCCTCAAGTGCCTATGGACGAGGATGAGAGCGCTGCCTGTACATGATGTGATGCTGTGTTGAGCACTTGTATACCTTCTAAGGAGCTGTGTAACCTGCACCTAGCATCGTGCTAAGCCCTGGGATAGAGAAGGGAACAGGCTGACCAAGCCTCTGTTCTCATGGAGTTTAAGTGGAGATAGTAACTGTAAAATTTGCTCACTTTGGGTCTGTTACCTCATCTGTAAATTGGAGGAGTTGGGATAGATAATAATTAAGTTCTTTTCCAATTCCAAAATAGTATTTCTCTCTTCTATTTTCCCATTCCCATTTAAAAAAAAATGATCAAAACAAGATTTTTCAGTTAAAAGCAATGATTTAAATAGGACTAGAACCTCAATTAAGTTAGTTTATAGTATGTCAAACAGTGGATAACATAGAACATAAGATAAAATTTGTCATGCTATTAACCCAGCTGCCTTACTGGGTTATGAATGCTGGTTGCTGGTTTTAGATGCAATTAATACTTTTTCTGTCTTCTTTTTGTCTGAAGTTTCTTATTTCGATCATGTATTTTGATCATTTAAATCTCTGCAAAGATTTCTGTAAAAGCAACAAAATTTATGCCAATGTCTTCTCTCTAATCCTTCCCTAGAAAATAGGGGCCAGCTGATGTTTCCTGGTTCACCCTTCCTATAGCTAAGGAAAAACATTATACATCTCAGAGCTGGCCAGATCCTTTCAAATCCTAGTCCCACTTCTAATTCTCTTTGTGACCATGGACAAAATACTTAACTTTCTGAGCCTCAGTTTTATTATCTCTGAAAAAGGGTGATATCCACCTCAAAAAAAATTATTGTGAGCATTAAATAATTTCTGTAAAGTACCTACTACATGCTTGACACATAGTAGGCGCTCAATAATTCTTTCTTTCCCTATTCCCTCATCCAAAATTACCTTTCTGTGGTTTTTCATGACCAATTTAGCCCCACTGGTTAGCAGCTGGTTATTGTGTACCAGGGTCTCAAATTTAACACACTGTTACTCAGGCATGAAAAGAAGTATAGATTATTTTCTATGACTAATCTAATCTTTTTCATGATCCACCATCCTTAAGAAACCAGGAAGTGGAATTTCTGCACTGGGACCCACTCTAAACTCATCTGGTCCAGGAGAGAGTCTGCACCCTTGTCACTAATGTTTTGTGTCCTTTCCCCTCTCCCTGAGATTTTATCCTCTCTGGAAGGACTTCTGCATCCTCTCCACCAGGAGGGGCTATCTTATCATCCATACTCTGCTTAGCCTTAATGGCAGATGGAGTATAAGGAGAATGAATGGTTTACTGGTAAGAAAACATAAATCAGGAGGCATTTCAACATTATTACACCTGTTACAATTGCTTAGTGCAGGATTGCAAATGCCTAGGCCCTCCAGTACCATATGCACTGCAGACAATCATGTACCCTTTCTCCCTGATCCTGGGGGATGCCTCAGGGCGATATATATCCACGCCCCTTTGACTGGCCATGGCATACAAAATGACACCCTTTTATCCCTGGATTATGATATTATAACTCCTGGAGAATTTGCATTTTAACCTGGGGCTCCTGGACTCCAAAAACCTTAAACCATGGAATAAATAACCAGTGGCAGAAGTTCCAGCCCAGTAGTGGACGGTGGAAGAGAGGCTTCTGGGCACAGTGGACCTTCCAACACTCTTAACTGGTGCTAAAATTGACTCCAGACATTGAGAAAGCACATTTGTCACGTGTGTGCCTCACCATTCTGTTCTGCCCCCAAAGCAGTGAAAATTATTCCTAAGGGCTGATCTCCCCACACTTCCCCTGTTCTCTCCCAGCTTCCACCCTGTAGCCCTCAGATGTTTCCTGTGTGAAATGGTATCAGAAATGTCAAGTTTCACCCCCCCTCACTGTACCCTCCTCCACCCCAAGGTTGCATCACTGTTATGAGCTGCTAGTGCCTGATGCTCTCTTACTGGTTCCTCCCTGCAGTGGTTGGATCAGTTGTATGTGATATTCTTGATGTCAAAGTGAGCTTTTCCTCTGTGGTGGCCAGTGCCCTGCTTTGCTTCTACCTCTGGCCAATCTTCCTCTGGCCAAAATATAAACAGTGGTTATGCTGGGGAATAATATTATGGGTGATTTAAATCTTTTTCATGTTTTATTTTCTAAATCTTTTACACTTCTACCTCTGGCTGAGCTTCTCAGCCATGCTGATCCCCGGAGAAGGTGGATGAGAGAAAGTAGATGGATTGGTAGAAATATTTACTACCATAAAAACAATTCGGTAAAACCACCCCTACTAACAGGTGGGGTTTTTTTTTTTTTTTTTTTTTTTTTTTTTACACAATGTTTGCTTACGAGCATGGCTTCAGAACTCTGGAGGGACTAGACTTGCTGTGCCTGTACATACAGAAGCTCACCGTGCTGGGAGTGGGCAAGAACTGGGTCCTTTTCTCCTCTCTGTTCCCTGGCATCTAACCAGTAGCTGGCCCGGCTTCAATACTCCGTAAACAATGGCTGTATTGATTTCCCGCTTTGCGGATTAGCAATCAACCTGACCTTTGGGCCATTTTGTAACAGGAGAAGCACTTAAAGCGCTGCCTGAACTTGAGTTGAATTTGTCCTGGAACAGTAAAGTGGGAGGAAACTTGCCTCTGATCCTCCGGACATTCCGAGAAGGGAGCAAGACACAAATGCCTGAGCTTGTGGACTACGCCCTCACGTCAGAAGATGGGACGTTTGTGGGTAAGTGGAATTTGGAAGAGTCCTTCCCAGGAAATCATGTGAAGGCACCCATGATTGGATAGCTTGGAAATCAACGTTGGCTGTGTTTTCTCTCACCCTGAATTGAAAGAGTGGTTCACTATATCCCAGGTCACATGAAGATGTACCTCCCTCCTGCCTGCCCCAACTTTCACACCCTGCATCTTTACTGAGCTGTCCTTTGGATTTCCTCCCTACCAGGTCAGTTGCTACTTAGGCTGCAAAACCTTGAAATACTTGATCTTTCTGTTAACAGAAACGTCGGTGGCGGTCTCAACAGTATTGCTCAGGGATTAAAAAGTACCTTAAATCTGAAAGTCTTGAAGTTACATTCATGTGGATTATCACAAAAGAGTGTCAAACTACTGGGTGAGTTAGGGATGGCTAAAGTTTCTATATAACTTTATATTACACGGAATTTTTAAGCTGTTAGGAAATACAACAAAACATAAACAGTGGTTATGTTGGGGAATAAGATTATGGGTGATTTAAATCTTCTTTTTTGTTTTATTGATTTTCTAAGTCTTTTACAGTGAGCATGTACTTTCATGATTACAAAAATAATCTTTTAAAACGGCTGACTCTGAAAAGGCCAGGATATTTTAGGTCTGAGAGAGACACTGTGCAAAATAAGTGTGCTACGAAAGCTGTCCATTTTTCTCTTACTTTTGAAAATGCCGGCATTATTTTATGCTTAGTAGTAGGAAGGAATTGGTACTGATAAAAAGAACAGCTTCAGTGACATCTGTAGTTAAAATTTACTCTGCTATAGAGTATCCACATTAAAGAATAGGAAATGAAATGTGTATTTATCCCTTCAGCTTCTAGAGCCTGTAAAATCCTTCCCCCTGGCAGTTTGAATAAGTCTAGAATGCTATGACAGCACCAGTGCTCAAGGATAGTAGGGAGAGATTCATTAGTTGAAAGATTTTGATCAAAACCATTGACGATGAATGCAGATCACAGAGGGTGAATATTTGAAGCCATTGTCAGGTCCGAAGGGGTAGATGGTACAAAGTGGACAGTTATCCCACCGTCTGGGCTTTTGTCAACATAGTGTACGTATTGTCTCGGTCTCCCTTCTCCACACCTGCCCCCTCTCCTGCCGACCGCCTTGTAATATGTCAGAATGGGGTTCTGACCTTCTTTGTAGATGCTGCTTTTAGATACTTGTGCGAGCTGAGGACACTAGACCTTTCCTGCAACAAGGAGATGAGTGGAGGGTTTGACTGCTTCCCGGGGCTGGCCGTGCTCGAGCATCTGGAGGGGTTGGATCTTCACCAGTGCTCGCTGATGGCCGACGACACGGTGTGGCTGAGTAGGTACTGCAGAGCTGAGGGAGGACTCTTGGAGCCTTGCCATGTGTTTGCAAGCCTGGCAGATTTGAGATGTGCTGTTTATGAAGTTACCGGAAGGGTCACATCATAAAAGTTTTGTGAATGCCCCAATATAGTATTTGGTAAATATTAAGTGCCCAGTAATTGTTAGTGAATCTAAACTCCTCCTGTACACATCTGTAAAGGATAGATGTGGCACTTGAGGGAGAAAATTTTTGAATTTATGTGGCTGTTTAGAAATGGATCTGTTACCGTTACAAAGTGTATTACAAATAGGGATGTAGAAGGAAAGCCAAAACGAAGGGTGTTGAGTCTTTCTCGCTAATCAAGTGAAGCTGAGGCACTTAGATACAAATGAAGTTACAGAAAGTCAGTGGGACGGTACATAACGGGTGTACATTACAACTTTAAGTCACTACGCTTACTTTCCTACCACAGACATAGTCCTGTAACCTGTAATGTATAAGTGCAGTTTCCCCTAACAAACAGCAAGCATACTCCTGAGATTAAGGGTTTTATTCCACCTGCAGCCACAATAAACCTTCAGAATGCATCCAGACTCTGACCATGGCTTACCATCTAGACCTCTACTACCCTGGTCCAGCCCGCTGTCACCTCATGCCTAGATTATTGCAAGAGTCCAGATGGTTTTCCTGCTCCTCTGTCTCTCTGACTGCATTCTCTCTTCCTTCCCCCCATTGGCTACTCCAGCCACAGCATGTGTGCTGACACTCATGCACACCAGCCATGCTCTGCTCTCCCTCTGTACTATGGGCTCCTCCTGCGTAGGGATGGTTTTTTTTTTTTTTTCCAGTATCTCTCTGTCGCTCATGCACAGGGTCTGGCACATAGTTGGCAGCCAGTAAATGCTTGCTGAGAATGTGATTGAATGAATCAATCAATAAAGGACGAGAAAAAGAATTTTTTGTTGTTGATTTTAGTACAATTGGGGGAGAAAAACAGTAAAATAGGTCTTTAGGTCTACTATTGATTTTTAGCCCTGCTAAGTTATTTCTTAGACTCTTATCCCTCAATTGGGGAAAACGAGAAGAGTTCAAGGCTTTCATGAAGATTTTAAAGTAGTAAATAATCCCTTTTGGGGCTCCAGGTGGAGACTGTGAAGTGTCACCATCCCCTTTTCTTATGAATGTCCTTCCTGTGGAGACACTCCTGAATTACCAATCCATCGGATTCCAAATAAGGAATTTCTCCTGCTACAGCTGAGTAACATGAATGTCCTGACTCATCTTATTGTTCAGAGGAGCATTAAAGTGCTAGAGGATCTGAATTGTTAACGCTATAGGACAACAGAGGGATCAGCCTCCCTTATCTAGATCTGCAGCCACCAGCACAGGTAAATGGCCCCAGAAAGGTAATGGTTATTCAGTAACTGTAGTGAATTGCATTGTTCTCCTGCTTAATTTTGAAAAGATGGAATTGAAAACACATCCTGTTTATACCTTATGATGTTAAAGAATCGAACATTCTTTTATCTGATCATTCCCGATAGCTCCAAAGGAATGGAATTACAGGTCATTTAGCCAACAATGTTTGATTGATCATCTAATTGTTCGAGGCACTGTTCTGTGGGCTGAGGGAAATTCACAGGCAGGAGCTCCAGTCTGGTGGGGGCAGCAATAAACCAAATACGTGGTGAAGCACAAGGTGCTGGGGGCGTTAGAAGAGGGAGACGCCGCAGCAAGTACCTGCCCTTTTTTCCTTCCCTTCCCCTTCCTTTCTCCTGTCCTTTCCTCCTTCCACTAACATTTGTGCCTCTGGTTTCTGGGCTCTGAGGCACACTCTGGGCACGAAGCAGCCCCTACACACAGAGCTCACCTTTGGGGAGGGAGGGCAGAAGACAAACACATACACAAACAAATCACGTAACGGGGGTGCTGGGAGGAAAAGAAAATAGGGACATGTAATAGTGACCAAAGGGTTACTGTGGGTTTGGTGGCCCTGGAAGATTCTGAGGAGGTGAGCCAGCCCCACAGAGATCCCAGGATACTGCATTTCCCACATTGGAAAGAACTAGGGCAAAGGTCTGGAAGCAGGAAAAGCAGCAGAAAGATAGCGAAGCAGGGGTAACTCCTGGCACGGCAAGGGCCTTCAGGGCCCCACTCCAGTGCTGTTAGCCACAGATATCTGTTCTGATTTCTTGATTTCATTGCCTTTCTAGTACTTCTGACTTATATTCTGAGAAAAGAATGATCGTACCAAACAGTAATTGAGCAGTTAGTGTGTGCCAGGCACTGTACCAGGCACTTTACATATACCAAGTCGTTTTACCTTCCTACTGCCTCTGTGAAGTAGTATTGTTATTCTTATTGAGAAAACTGAGGTTCGGAGAAGTTAAGTAACTTGTCCGAAACCACACAGTTCTTTAGTAACAAGTCCAGGATTAGAACCACCAGTTCTGTCTCCAAAGTCTTTGCTCTTAACTTCTAGCCTTGAGAGAGGCTTGGAGAAGAGCCCAAGCTGCATACTGGGAAGAATGGCTGGTGTGTATGTGGTGTGTAATTGTGTGTAAGGCAGGGCAGGGGTCAGAGAGGGAAGAGCTGTGCTTGCTGTTGAAGAAGCCTGTGGGGGCTTCCTGGTGGCGCAGTGGTTGAGAGTCCGCCTGCCGATGCAGGGGACACAGGTTCGTGCCCCGGTCCGGGAGGATCCCACATGCTGCGGAGCGGCTGGGCCCATGAACCATGGCCGCTGAGCCTGTGCATCCGGAGCCTGTGCTCCACAACGGGAGAGGCCACAACAATGAGAGGTCCGCGTACAGCAAAAAAAAAAAAGACTGTGGGACCCAAACACCCAGAAGACCCTTTGTGAGATGCTGCCTAAAACATGTCACTGTTGATGTTTTAGTAGCCCAGGTTATCCCTTTTCTCTCGAGTTTTCAAGAATTGGCCTTATCTGCCAACAGAAAGATGGGCAGCCCTTCTGAAAACCTATTCAGCAGGCTCTGATTTTTACCAGCATTGAAGTCATTGTTAGTCAACAACTGTGCTTTGGAAAGTGAGACTTTTACTGCCCTGGGTAAGAGCATTCCCCAAATCCCTGCAGGCACTGGTACCATAACATCTGAGAGGGGAGGCCTCTCTTTGCCTACAAATGAATGCTGAGCTGTAGGCAACGTAAAGTATTAATTTGTCTTTCTTTCAGGAAATATGCTCTCTTGAAAGTGACTTTCAAAGCCACACGAATGATTTCTAGCATTGTAAATTTAACATTTAAAATTTAAAGTGTACACAGTTGGCCCTTTGTAACCATGGGTTCCAAATCCGTGGATTCAACTGACAGCAAATCAAAAATATTTGGAAAAAAATTTCTGGAAAGTTCCAAAAAGCAAAACTTGAATTTGTCTCATTCAGGCAACAATTTACACAGATAGCATTTACATTGTAATAGGTATTATAAGTAATCTAGAGTTGATTTAAAGTATATGGGAGGATGTGCATAGGTTATACGCAAATACTGTGCCATTTTATATAAGGGACCTGAGCTTCCATGGATTTTGGTGTCTGCAGGGTGTCCTGGAAACAATGCCCCTGTGGATACGGAGGGACGGCTGTATAACCAACTCTGAAGGCTCACATTCCTGGTAACTTGTACAGTATAATTTGGAATTGCTGGAAAGGGAGGCGTTTACTAGTGTGTGAGCCTAGCTGGCTGCCTAGCACCTAGTCCCAACAGGGTTTGTTGTCCTCTCTCAGGAATCTTGGCGTGCCTGAAGACCATGGATACAGCCTGGCCTACATCAGGGATTTACTAAATCTGACATTTCTGCCTATGCTGGGGCAAGGGCACTGTCAGCGAGAAGAGGGAGACATTTTGAGGCAAAGGGACTTTGCCCAATTTTCCCAAATATACCACCCAGGCATCCAACACTTTAAGCACATGGTGCCAGGGGTCCTCAACCACCTCCAGCTTCAGTGATTCACTGGAGGGACTCACAGATCTCACTGCTGAGATTTATTACAAAAAAGGGAAACAAAGCAAAATCAGCAAAGGGAAACATGCATGGGGCAGAGTCCAGAGGAAACCAGGCCCAAGCTTGCAAGATTCCTTTCCCAGCAGAGTAACAAGGATGCACTCCGTTCCTGCAGCACATTGTGACGACATGGTCTGAAATGTTTCCTGAGAAGGCTCGCCTGAACCTTCAAGTCCAGGGTTTTTAGTGGGGCTTGGTCATGCAGGCACCCTCTACGAAGCACATACCAAAATTCCAGACTCACAGAAGGAAAGCTGGTGTTCAGCATAAATCATCTTATTTGTACGCAAACACTGTAGGCACAACGAACCACCCTTATAAGTTAGGGAATGGTGATGACACTTCCAAATTCCAAGTTCCCAGATGTCAGCCAAGGGCCAACCTTGCCAGCAGGACTTTGTAGGGATAGTGGTCTCAGGGCTGCTAGGTTAACCCTGTTTTGTACACATGCGCAAGACTAGTGTGGTTGGATTCTGGTGCTCTCTGGGTAACAGTGAAAACAGAGCCCTTCTCTCTGACCTTCCCTCAAGGGTTATGTCTGTTGACACTCCCTTAAAAGTGAATTGTCCTATGGACCCAACAGGGCTATTATTAATGAAATAAAGGCATTCTATTAATAAAAAAATAACAAGTAGTTATTTATTAATATCTGTTAATAAAAATAAGTACATATAATTTATCCCAAATTCTAAGAACTCTCTATTTAGGGTATTCTTGCTCTTCTTTTCATCCCAACTATTCTGTTCGACCCACAGGGTCTTGGTCCTTGCCATGTACTGCTCCCAGCCCTCCCCCAGCACTGCTCATCTCATTGGCCACGTGTCTGGATGGGGAAAAGTAGCAGGATATGTACGTCTCTTAACCTGAGGTCCACGGCTCCTCCCTTAAGAGAGTCAGTCTATAGTTATGCCTGGGCAGGGGGCTGTGAATTCCCTAAAACTGATTCCAGTTCTTTTGTTGGTGGGGAATGTATGGTACATTTTTCTGGCTCCAAAGCACCTGGGATCAGACATCTGAAAGCAAATCCTGGCTCTGGCTCTCATGACCTGAGGTACTTAACAACCCTGTGCCTCAGTTTCCTTGTCTGTAAATGGAATAATAGGATCATATCTCATAGAGTTGTAAGAATTAAACGGGTTATTACATGTGAAGTTCTTGGAAATGTGCCTGGCTCATAGTAAATGCTCAATAAATGCCAGTTGTGAATATTATTATGGGGAGAGAGTCTATAAATTTTACTTAAAAAGTAAATTTGGGGACTTCCCTGGCGGTCCAGTGGTTAAGGCTCCACACTTCCACTGCAGGGGTGCAGGTTCCATCCCTGGTCGGGGAACTGAGGTCCCACATACCACACAGTGTGGCCAAAAAAAAAAAGTAAATTTTATTGTAAAAGCCAGAGGTTGACTGGAGAACCTCTGGTAAAATCCAGATTCCTTCATGTGATCTAACAGGCCCCCTGGCGGCTCTCCCCCTTGCTCCCTGAACCCAGCCTCAGTTGGCTTCTTTCTGTTCCTTCATATCACTGAGCTCTCTCCTGCCTTTGACCTCCCTGTTCTCTAGAATTCCCTACCCCCCAGTCTTTCCTGGGGAGCTCTGATTGCAGGTCTCAGTGTAAATGTCCCCTTTTAAGACAGCCGCTCTCTGAATTAGAAGTCCCTGTATCTTCCTTATAGCCTTTATCAGAATTTATAATTATGTATTTACTTGTGTGGTTTTTTAATGTTGATACTTTTCCCAGATTGTTACCCTCTTGAGGGCAGGGATTGTGTTTATTCTTCACTGCATCCTTCAAAGCATGTTTTTGGTATTAGTCAAGTAAGTCAGTAAGTAGATAGGCAGGTTAGTAGATAGATAGACAGACAGACAGACAGACAGACAAATTTCTCAAAGGGGGTTATAATCCCCAAAATGGCTAGGTAAACACACACACACACACACACACACACACGCACACACACATACCCCACATTCCACTGCTCAGACTAATGTTGTTAGGAAAATTCCACAAAAAATAAATTTGGGGACAGCATGAGATTTCATAAATATACTTCCTAGATGGAAAATGTTGAATATTTTTAAAGTAAATTTTGTTTTTAACTTTGTGTCTTCTGCCATCAGAAGGCACAACTCTTTTCAATTACAGCTACACAATCAATGGATCATAATCAAGTAGACATTACACAAAATTACATCATCTGACACAAATCTTTAGACAGTCCCTGACTTACAGCGGTTTGACTTCACACTTTTCGACTCTAAGGTGGTGTAAAAGCAATACACATTCAGTAGAAACCAGACTTAGAACTTTGAATTTTGATCTTCTCCCGGCCTAGTAATATATACGTGGTGCAATACTCATGCCATCACGAGGGTAAACTTAACAATCACTCTGTACCCAGACAACCACTCTGTTTTTCACTTTCAGTATGGTATTCAATAAATGACTTGAGATATTCAACATTTTGGTCTAAGATAGGCATTGTGTTAGATGACTTTGCCCAACCATGGGCATGTTTAAGTAGGCTAGGCAAAGTTATGATGATCAGAAGGTTAGGTGTATTAAATTCATTTTTTACTTAAGATATTTTCAACTTATGGGGACGTAACCCCACTATAAGTCGAGGGAGACCTGTTTAATTCAATTTGAATTAAGAAGTAAATCAACAATAAAAAAAGAAGTAAATCAAGTAAATACATATTTCTCTGCATCACTTTGAGAAAAGAAAGTTCAATTTCTTATTGATAGGTCTCTGTACCATAAGAGTGGGAGGGTGCTCTTGTTAGATATTATAAAAAGAATATATATCTACCCCTCAAACATATTATTTTTTAGAAAGAAGGCAGAATAGTTTAAAATGTAATTAATGGCTATACCTCATGGATAAGTTACTCTGGTTAATTTTTTTTTTTTGCAGTACGTGGGCCTCTCACTGTTGTAGCCTCTCCCGTTGCGGAGCACAGGCTCCAGACACGCAGGCTCAGCGGCCACGGCTCACGGGCCCAGCCGCTCCACGGCCTGTGGGACCTTCCTGGACTGGGGCACGAACCCATGTCCGCTGCATCGGCAGGCGGACTCTCAACCACTGCGCCACCAGGGAAGCCCTCTGGTTAATTTTAATGTTAGGGGAAACTGAGAACTAAGAAGAAAATCTTTGAATTTCCTTTAAAAATCTTTCCAATATACACTATTTCCCTTCTTTGACTCTGTTAACTGCAGTTAGGTAGACACAAATACATTTTGGTGTTTCAGAGTTCTAGGGAGGTTTGGCCTTGTCTCTGAATTTCAACAGCGACCAGGACATGTAAAACCAGGACACACTCTGGAAATCGTGACTAGCTGTGAAAACTGTTCGTCTCTTTCTCCCTCTTAAATGTGAAGTGAAGGAAAGAAATCCCAGTCAATAGTGGATTCCATTTAATCAAGTTTTTACATTAATTAATTATTTATTTATTTATTGGCTGCATTGGGTCTTCATTGCTGCACGTGGGCTTTCTCTAGTTGCAGTGAGCTGGGGCTACTCTTAGTTGCAGTATGCGGGCTTCTCATTGCAGTGGCTTCTCTTGTTGCGGAGCATGGGTTCTAGGCGCACAGGCTTCAGTAGTTGTGGCACGGGGGCTCAGTAGTTGTGGCTCGCGGGCTCTAGAGCACAGGCTCAGTAGTTGTGGCACATGGGCTTAGTTGCTCCTCGGCATGTGAGATCTTCCTGGACCAGGGCTCAAACCCATGTCCCCTGCATTGGCAGACAGATTCTTAACCACTGCACCACCAGGGAAGTCCCCATTTAATCAAGTTGTACTTTTCTAAAGTTTCCAACATTTCTCCCCAATAAAAATAGACAACATAAATTGAGGCCATGAATTTCAGGCAGGAGAAACGGTCTCTACAACTGTCTTAACCTCACTGATAGTAATATGTTGCCCTAGCCTAGGTTCCTCAACTTCACGGCTTATGACCTCTAAGGAAACCTAAATTATTGCTATTCTTATCACTGTCAATTTCAGCTGAAGCCTCCATTCACCTCCCTGCTCTGGAAATAGTCAACCTTTCTTGGAATAAGTGTGTTGGCAGCAGCCTAAAGCTGCTCCTGGAAATGCTAAAGCTTTCAACGTCCCTTTAGGTGCTGAGGCTGAGCAGCTGTTCCCTGGTGACAGAGGACGTGGCTCTTCTGGGTTTCACCTACTGGTTCCATCCAAAGCAGTCCTGGCACTCAGAGCCCAGCGTGCCTGCCCTGCCAGTCCAGGGCAAGGGAGGTGGAGAAGGCAGCGAGGCCTGGAGCTAAGCCCTCTGTGCAGCTTCCCTGCTCCCTGACATCTGCTTAGGAGAGAGCTGGTTAAAACAGATAAGGGCAATTCTAAAACCAAAAAGACAGTGGAGAGTGTTTCATAAAAGGAGACGGAGGAATTTCCCTGGCGGTTCAGTGGTTAGGACTCCACGCTTTCACTCCCGGGGGCGAGGGTTCGACCCCTGATTGGGGAACTAAGATCCCACAAGCCATAAGGTGCGGCCAAACATTAAAAAAAGAAGAATAAGAAGAAAAAAAGGAGATAGATAGATATGGTGGCAGAAGAAGGAGGATTACCTGATGTAGAATAGAAAGTTGGAACACTGGATGTGGATGGGTGAGGCTCCTTGTCCTTGAGAGGTGTGTGCGTGTGTGGATTTTGTTTACGCCTATACCCACCTTGGCTCAGCTGGGTGCAGTTTTCTGTGTTCACCTACTGTTTCCTGTGGATAAATTATGCATAAGCAAACAAGAAATTTGTGTTATGTTCACACTGTTCTCTGATATTTCAATCTAGTTGGAACAAATATGTGTTTTCAAAACAAGTGTTATGGCCAAACACTGTAATTAGAAGATGTGGACAAATCATTGTGATTTTATTTTGCATTTCCCTAATGACTAATGATGGTGAGCATATTTTTATGTGTTTATCTGTTTATGTGTTTATCTGTAAACTGTATATATTCCTTGATGAAGTGTCTGTTCTAATCTTTTGCCTAATTTAAAAAACTGGATAGTTTGTTTTCTTCTTAATGAGAGTTCTTTAGATTCTCTGGATACAAGTCTTTTATCAGATCTATAACTTGCAAATATTTTCTCAGTCTGTAATTTGTCTTCTCAACCCCTTAACAGTATCTTTTGCACGGCACGATTTTCAGTTTTTTGGTTTTTTTTTTAATATTTATTTATTTGGCTGTGCCAGGTTTTAGTTGCAGCATGCGGGACCTTCGTTGCAGCGTGAGGGAGCTTTTAGTGTGGCATGCGGGATCTAGTTCCCTGACCAGGGATCAAACCTGGCCCACTGCATTGGGAGTGCAGAGTCGTAACCACTGGACCACCAGGGAAGTCCCAAGACTTTCAGTTTTGATAAAGATCTATTTATCTATTTGCTAATTTGGTGGATAGAGCTTTCTGTGTTGCATCTTAGAACTTTTTGCAAAACCCAAGTTCTCAAGGATTTTTCCTAGATTTTCTTCCAAAAGGTTTACATTTACATTTTACATTTTGACTTATTATCCATTTTGAGTATTCTTGTACAAGGCGTGAGATATGGGCTGAAAATATTTTTGCATATGACAGCTCAGTTATTCAAACACCATTAATTGAAAAGACTCATTGAATTGCCTTTGCATTTTTGTCAGAAATCAATTGGCCAGTTTGTGAGGGTCTATTTTTGGTCTGTTCTGTTCCATTGGTCTATGCATCTATTCTTTTACTGATACCATACTGTCTTGATTACGAAAGCTTTATAGTAAGCCTTGAAATCAGGTAGCATGGGCATTCTGCTTTGTTCTTTTTCAAAATCATTTTGGTTATTCTAGTTTCTTGACATTTCTATATAAATTTTAGCATCAGCTAGTCAATATCTACAAAAAATCCCTCTGGAATTTTGACTGGGATTGCATTGAATCTATAGGCAGATTCAGGGAGAAATGACATCTTAACTATATTGAGCACTCCCATCCATGAACACAGTATCTCTCTCTTTTTATTTAGGTCCTCTTTGATTTATTTCATTGGTGTTTTGTAGTTTCTACCATGCAGATCCTGCATATACTTTGTTAAATTTATATATAAGTATTTAATTTTTTGGTGCTATTATAAACGGTACTGGTTTCCAAATTTTGATTCCCAATTGGTCATTGCTAGTATGTAGAAATACAATTGATTTTCATTGACATTTTATACTGAGACCTTGTTAAACTCATCTATTAGTTCTATGAGATTTTTGGTAGATCCTGTAGGCAATCATGTCATCTATAATTAAAGTCAGCTTTATTTCATCTATAATGTCATCTATAATTAAAGTCAGCTTTATTTCATCCGGTCCAGTCTCTATACCTTTTATTTCTTTTTCTTGGTTATTTAACTGGCTAGGATTTCCAGTAGATGTTGAATGAGGTGAGAGCAGACATCCCTGCCTTGTTCTCAATATTGGGGGGAAAGCACTCAGTCTTTCCCATTAAGTAAAATGTTAGCTATAGGTTTTTGTTTGTGTTTTGTAGATGTGCCCTTTATCAGGTAAAGGAATCCTAATCTGGCTAGATTTCTTATAATGAATTGAAGATATTTTGTTGAGGGTGTTTGTGGCTATGTTCACGAGAGATAATTGCCTACTAGTTTTTTTGTAATATCTTTGTCTGGCTTTGGTATCAGGGTGACAATGACCTCAGAAAATGAGTTGGCAAGTGTTCCTGCCTCTTCTATTTCCTGGAAAGATTTTGTAGAGTTGGTATTATTTTTTCATTAACTTGAAACTTCATAGAATTGACCCCTGAACCTGTCTAAACTTGGAGTTTTCTTTGTGAGAAGTTTTAAATTACAAATTCAGTTTAAAAAATAGATATAGCACCATTCAGGTTATCTTTTTCTTCTTGAGTTTTGGTACTTTGTGTCTTCCAAGGAATTGGCCCATTTTACTTAGGTCGAATTTATGGAAATAAAGTTGTTTTCTTATAATCCTGTTAATGTCTGCTAATCATTTTGACTTCTTCTGTGACCTCCTTCCTCTTCAACCACCTGCTGGAGAAAATTCTCTGCTTTTAAAGGGCTCCTGTGAGTAGGTTAACCTCGCTTGGGTCTGCGTTTCTTAAACTCAGGTGTGCCATGTAATATAACCCAATCATGGGAACCCATCATTTACACAGTCCTAGGAATTAGGGTGGAAATCTTGGGGTCACCTTAGAATTCTGATTATCACAATCTTCAATCTTCTCAAAGAATAAGCCTTTGGTTTGTTTTGTTTTCCTGAACTGGACACCATTAAACATATTTAAATTATTTCGTTTAAAGTTATTAAAATTTGCTTCTTCAATTTTTTATTTTTTTGGTCTGCATCATATTTTATTAATCACAGCTCCAGCCATTATATATCGTTTCTTAATTTTTACTACCAGGTTTTCTTCCTCAGGTCAAATTTATACTTTTACATTTTGTCAAGGGTATTTTTTTGTTCTTTCAATTTTTAGTCAATGACAAGTATTGCTGTGTGTGGCTTTAAGCATTGCCACTTAACTGTTCTGATTATTTCTAATAGAAACTTTAAGAATTTGTTAATCCCTCGCAGTTTGTGTTTTATTCTTTTGTAAATAACAGCATTGGTTTTTTCATATAGTAAGCTACAAAAATAGTATTTTCATGACCTGTGATACTATTACCCAGATTTTAAAAATATAACGCATATAAAATACTAAAATATAATAAATAGAGTACTCACATCATTGGAAAATTCAGATAGTATAGGAAAGGTAAAACAATGTCTGAGATTTGCTTTAAAATACTAAAAAACAAACAAACAAAAAGTAGGGCAAGGGGACTGGATGAGCCAAGATTAGTGTAATGAAAATAGCGTTGAAGCTGATTGATGGGAACATGGGAGTTCTCACTCCTATTCCATCTACTTTTTATATGTTTGAAAATGTCTGTAATAGAAAATTTTCTAAAGGGAAAAAGCATGCACATTATCTTTAACACTTAGCTAGGTCTTGAGAACATAGTGAGTAATGTTCCGAGACAGAAAGATAGGAAGGGACACAATCAACATGAACACCTAGGGACCAACTGCAGCTGTTGAGTGTCCTGACTGGGATGATGAAAATGATGGGGATGGAGCCTCCCACTTGGTGTGGAAGCCATGATATGTGAGGAATGACTGAAGGACCAGGGCGTGTTTAGGCCTATAGGGGGGACATTTGAGGGGACCTGACTGTGGTCCAACACTGCATGGTCGGCACGAGGAAGGAGCTGAGGTTCCCAGCAGGCTGAGGTGGGCAGTGGGGAAAGTCAGATAGGGCCTAGAGGCATGGCTTCCTCCCGCTGAGAGTTGCTTCCCTCTGTTGGGGCAACCTGGAGAGAGACTTCAGGCAGAGTTGGGCTGGTCCCCAGGAGAGAAGCTGTGAGAGGGATTTCTCTCTGATCATCGATCAGGTTGAATGAGGAGCCCTCCAAGGTCCCTTCCAACGCTGAGATTCTACACATCTCATCTCTGTAATCCATTCCTGTTTTTGGCTGAAAAGGGAAGCATCTCCTGTCTGCTTTGGCTGTCTCTCCTAGCTCCTTTTCTTAGCCTCATCATTAACTGTTATTTATTGAGAGCCATTATGGGTAGTACTGTGATATGTGCTATTCAAAGGAAAACTTGATCCATGCATTAAAGTCTCTAATTGACCCATGAATTAGAAATTATCCAAGCATATTTTGCCCATGGAAAGTGCTCAATTAAATAACTGTTGAATGAAGAATGAATAAGCAATGAATAGTTAAACAGCATTAAACAGCAAGAAAACTATTCAGAAGTGGTCCTGAGTTAAAGCCAGTGAGCCATCACTCTTCACCTTTAGCTAGAGAAAGTCTGCAGTAAGAGTTGGGACTCCAGTGGAGCAGAGAGCAGGAACTCGACAAAAAAGACGCTCTTTGGAATGGGATTTGGAAAGAGAAAGAAAACTCCATTTTTAAGCTGTACATGAAATGCAGAGAGGAAATTTGTTACTAGAGTAATTTCAGATGCCCTGAATAAAACTGCTAGCTAATAACATTTCATTACTAAGTATCAGTCTTGTCATTACGAATCCTGGAGCTACTGTGTTGTGTTATTGGAAGTGGGAAATGGTCACACTAGAAAGTATCCTTGGCTTTTAACATTTAGAGTAATTTTGTTTTTCAGCATCGGTAATCCAGACAGGTCACATGGCCAGGCTGCGGAAGCTGGACCTGAGCTATAATGACAGCATCTGTGATGCAGAAGGGACCATCTTCTGCCAAAACCCGTGGCTCCTCAAAGAGTTAACCGAGCTGGATATTAGCCTTCAGCCATCAGCTTTTCGGGAGTGTGGACAATGGTTTAGACATTTGTTATGTGCCGTGACCAAACTTCCTGAGATCACCGAGATAGGAATGAAGAGGTGGGTCCTCCCAGCCTCACAAGAGGAAGAACTAGAAGGCTTTGACCAAGATCACAAAAGCAGCATTCACTTTGACCATGGTGGGTTTCAGTAAGCTGACTTCTCAAGGCTCAACTAAGCTACACACCATCCTAAGGGGGAGGAAAAAACAAGAGTGAATCCTGGTGAAATCAAGGAGTACCAGCTTCTGGGCTGTTTGGTGGGATTTACAGTACAAGAGCTTTGTAAATATATACTGTCTATAATAATCTAATGTGAGCATGTCTTTATTCTCTATTTTATAAAACAAGAATGACACTTTTCAATGGATTTTCATTTGTTTTGATATACAGTTAGTTCACTTGCTGTTTAGAAGCCCTGACAAAAATGCTTAGATTCTGGTACTGCATCTCCTTTTGTCTTGCCCTGGAATTTTCTGCCTCTCTTTTCCTAAATATTTTAAATATAAGGGTGTGTGTTTATGTGTATGTGCGTGTGTGTGAGATTCTAGTGTGAAAGGCGCAAACTGTGGAATATTTTCATATTCTTTACCATTATATGTATCTTAATGTGGTCCACTCACATTTTTATCAGAAAGTATTCCTTGCAGTGGTTTATTATTTTTTGTTCTCTTGGCTTTTATCTCAGATATAAACCATGAACACTAATAATGACCACTGACATACAAATCTTCATTAAAAGTGGTCGAAAATTCAAAACCCAGTATGAAAAAATACCTTGTGAAAATAAAGTAAAATATTTTGTTGTTAAAATAAACAAATTAACATATTACCTCTGAGCATTTCTTTGGCAGGGAATTTGCCACATAAAACCTACTTAACTCGTTAAAGTTTCTGTGCTGCTCTAAGTGATTTTTGGAATTTTTTAATTTTTCTCTTACTAGAGCATGAAATTCATTGCATGGCAGAGGGGTCTGTTCACACATTTCTATTCTGATATGCTCCAGTCAAGTTATGTTTTGCTTTCTTCTTGCTACACTAATAATTCATACTGCAATCATTGCTTGAAAGACATGTAGAATTTGAAATCAATACCACTCTAAAAGAAAAAGTCATCATGGGAATTCCCTGACAGTCCAGTGGTTAGGACTCGCTGCTTTCACTGCTGTTGGCCTGGGTCCAATCCCTGGTCAGGAAACTAAGATCCCACAAGCCATACAGTACGGCCAAAAAAAAAAAAAGGAAGTCATCAGGGTGAGGAGGTCTTGAGTGGTATAAATGGGGATGTTTTAGGTAATGATTCTTCACTTCTTTCGGCATTC